TACCCTTGTTCCCCTGTAGTGAGAATTTGATCTTAATCATATATTTTATATTGATATCAATTGGAATAGACTCTATTAACCACTTGATGACCGGGGTGTTAAACCCCCTTCCTGGCCAGGCCATTTTTCAGCATTCAGCGCTGCGGTACTTTGAATAACATTTCTTCTGTCATGCAACGCTGTACTGAAATTACTTTTATACCATTTTTGGGGACAGATAGAGCTGTCTTTTGGTGGTATTTAATCACCACTGGGGTTTTTATTTCTTACTATATTAAGGAAAAATTACAGAAATTTTGAAAAAATAACTGTTTCCCCTATATTAAATTATGAAACATTTATTATTATCCAATTTTTTGGTAAAATATAAAAGACTGGGTCACGTCGGGTAAATAGACACCAAGCCTTAAAATTGTGCATGCCCGCGAAACTTCAAAAAATTACAATACCCAAAATTGGCCATAAGCTTTAAAAGCTTTTACCGCCCAGCAGTCTAGTGTTATCAGTGATTGATGGCCCTAAAATTTTGCTCTCACTGCGACGTTTGCGGCGATATGTAACATGTGTAGCGCAATTGTAGTTTTCGCGTGTTGGCGTATACGTTTTTGTTTGCTTTTTTTTACATTTCTTTATATGTGACTTTTCTTTTTTTACTTTTTTTTACACTCAAAGAAGAACTATGAGATGAGTGCTTTTCACTCACCTCATAGTTCTAGCTGACCTGTGACAATGAGACTGTCACAGGTCGGCTCAGTAGATCGGGAAGTGAGCGAACACATACCGGCGTTCGCTCACTTCTCGATCCTGTCACAGCTCTCCGTGACAGGGGAGTGGCTGGATTCCCCCCTCCCCGCTCCGATCCTCTAGCGCTGACTGGCGGAACGGTCGGGGGAGGGTACAGCTGGGTCTGCTTCTAGATAGGCAGAGCCAGCTGTCACTCACGCAGCCGGGCGGATCCAGACATAATTGTCGGGATCCGCTTCAGCCGCGGCGTCTCAGTATACCGCGAGCTGTAGCTCGTGGTATACTGAGCTTAGGGTGACGGGAGGATGCTAGTTTGTGTCCTCTCGTTACCCTAAGGAGAACTATGGGGAAAAGCCCTAACCCCATAGTTCTCCTTTAATGTTATTGCTATCACATAAGGGGCTAACCATCCCCTATATCACAGCACAGCCACACTGACAGGTCCTATTTATGGCGACATTAGGGGTCTCTAAGACCCCTAATGTCACCTGGGGACCCCCAAAGAAGCTGAGAAGCTTCTTGTCTGGCTATAGCAGCCAGAGGAATGACAGCTGAATGCAGAAGTGATGTAATACACACCACTACTGCATTCAGATGTCAGAGGGAGTCAGCAAAGAGAAAGATGCTGATATCCCTCCCATCTTCCTCCTGACACCCTCTCGAGCCGGACCCGGGCCGCAGATGGGGCAGCGGATTGAAAGTTAGGGTACAGGGGGGGTGCACTGCAGGAGGGTGGTGGCGCGCAGGGCAGCACATACAAGCGATTGGACGGCTATAGAGCCACCGATTGCTTGCATGTGTAATAGCCGGTAACGTCTGTTTCCATTCAACTGTTTTTTCCCACCCTAGCGCGCGCAGACAGCAAGCAGTTAATAATATTATCGTGGTAAAAGTAGTATTAAACTCTCAAACATTTTTTCAATAAAGAATCCAGATTAAACAAATATACATTGCCCAGCAAAGCATTGCTTTACAATTTTGCCCAAACACTTACAATCTTTATGTTTCTGAACAGATGCTTCCAGCTCTCTTAGCTCAGTTTCCCTGAACTATCTGTCCAGTACAAAATCACAAGGGACAGAGCAGATTCCAGCAAATGTTCATCTACTAGCTTGGAGTGAGGAGAGGGGAGCAGGGTGGAGGAGATTAGCTTGATTTGCTGTGTCTGTGTGTTTGTGGATATACAGTATATGCCCATAACCCATCGCACTCCTAACTGGAATCGAAACCTAATAGGTGGGTCAGAAATGGAAGCGGATGGTGCCGCCAGTCAATCCATAATAAAAAGTAGAAACAACTGACACTCGAAAATTCCTTGCATCAAATCTTCTTTATTGACATGATCAAGGTGGTTTTACAGTGTATGGCAACATTTCAGAACCCTATCCGGTTCTTTCCTCAGGCAAGCAAAGTGCTGTGTTTGTGGAGACACGCACAAGGGTGACTGCATAGCACTCTGCTTGAAAAAGGAGTCACTCTAAAACAGGAAATCAGTGCCAGTGCTCAGGGGACCAGCTGATTCTGCAGGAAACTAAAAACTTTTAGACATCAAGGAGCAGCATCCATTGTAAGTGATTTCATAAGCATTTAAAAAAACCTAAACTCCTTTTGACTTTAATATCGCTTTAAGCTCCTGAAAGCTTTAACCTTGCAGAGCATTTCACATATAAAAGATACATTTGAGATGAATCCAATACTTTCATATGAGTAATGTATTGTAGAGAATAAAATGAATAAAGTGATTAAGTCCTGCATTTATAAAATGCACAAAAAATAGTGTCCTGACCTATAGCAGAAACATCATATATACACAGAATACATATATAATGAGTTGTATAAATAATCAAACATGTAGAACATTAAGCTTTGTAGGTCAAGGTAACTAGAGTTCATGTAGGGCATTTAGGCTTTGTAGATTGAGGTAACAAGAATTATTATTATTTGAACACTCCTGAATTGCTGCTTTTTCCCAGCCGGCTGAATAAGGACTCATGCACACTATGTTGAAAAAACATAAGCTCAGGTATGTTTGGAGCTCCGTTCTATGCTAATGCTTTTCTATGACGCCAGCTGCATCTAAGTTCATTTAGTCTTGAAGCACTTGCCCAATTCTAGGATTTTCTGTGTTCTGGGTCTGTTTATCCCGGCTTTACGCAGCTAAACGCATATAAATTGTGTAAATGCGACTAAGCCCAGCAACAACTAAACGCTGGAAAAAGTGATCTGGAAAGCATAAAGTTGTTTATTCTTCGCAGATAATCTCTTGTGCTTAAACGCAGCCGGCTAGTGTGCATGAGGCCTAAACCTACTTCTTAAAGATCTGCCTGTTGTCGATCTTTCGTTTGATATACTTCACCCCCCTTATTAACATGCAATTAAAATGTTTTAATCAAATTATTTTATTTTTCAAGAAATACCTGTTTTGAGACCCAGTGATGTCATTTTTTAGATTGTCTGCTGCTCTTTGCTCTGAATTTGACTCCTGTAGACATCACAGCTTTCCACCTCAAGCCTTTTTCAAAAAAATTATATAAAAGAACACATCCTCATGATCCCATTAGATTTTCCTGCTTCTCTCTGCTGGCCTCTGGGAGCTGAAGACTTCAGCTGTACCCTCAGCTGACTGGCTGATTGGTAGCACAGACATCTAAAGGGGTGTCAGGGATGTGTTGTTTCACATAAAGCTCAGAAACTAAAGATTGATGGTAGAGAAAACTAATAGTTGTTGGAGGGGGATCAACAATCGCATATATCCAGGGGAGAAGTGATTGATGAATTATGGAGGTCATTCAGACAGGAAGTGAAGGTGGGCTCAAGATAGTTGCTGCAGGTTCAAAGTGGTTTTTCGTGGAGATGCAAGTTTACAGGGTTAAGAGTAATTTGATTTCACACCGGAGAGGACTTGCTTCACGTGCGGAGGTAAAAAAGGTAAGACTGCAGTTCAGCTTTAAGAATTAACCCAAACCAGGACTCTACTACAGCTTATGGCAAATGAACGTGACTGCAGGGGCCATATCTAGAAAGTGCTGGCTCTCCTCTGACAGCTGAGATGGGAAGGCTGTGTGTACATCTCTCCGGTCTGCTTCCCACACTCCATCCTGAACTAATTTGCTGTGGTTCTGGGTCTCCCTAAAGAGTGGGGGGCCCAGAAAACCACGGTGGGGAGGCAGCTGGCAGAGAAGAATGGACCATGGGGGGAAGCGTCGTGGGGTTAGGACGGAGCAGCAGGCTAAATACATCACTTGAACGGCCCCTCCTCTGTACATTTAGCCCTGCTTGCCTGAAGCAGTGCTAAATGTAGAAAAAAAACACTTGCCTGCTCTCTCCTCCTCCCTGGCTGTGGCTGCTGCAGTGACATCTGGCAGCGTGGCGGAGAACTGACACCGTTGCTAGGGCCCGGTCGCGGCCGCGACCTCTGCGACCCTGGTAGTTCCGCCACTGGTTGCGCTAGAAGGAGGCTGAGGAGCCGCAGAAGGCACACGGTGGCCCACTCAACAGGGGTTTGCGACCCACTTTTGGGTAGCAAACCACAGGTTGAGAACCACTGTTCTAGAGTAAGAATAGAACATACCGAACGCAGGGCATATACAGTTTACAGAATACATGTAGCTGGTGATGTGCCTGGTGGGTGCAACAGTATGTGCACATGTATGGGTGTTTCTGTGCGTTGCATATAGGGCAGCCCATTTAGTTTCAATAGGCTGCCCTACACACTACAAGCTCACCAAAGAAGTCCTTGCACCTTTTTCTTTTTTTTAAATGCGCCGCATGAAAATGCATGCTACTTTTTTACCATGACTACTGGTGAACCATCCTTTTCTTTATATGCTCCAAGATGGAGGCTCTTATTAGTTAGGACCACACTACACAGAGGGGCCTTGACAAGGCAGTGCGGCTTCCACATATTCTGCAAAATTTGTGCAACTAAAACATCTCTTTTAACCCTAAAAGATAGACAGTTTAATTTTTTTTTGCAGGCTAGCTGGTAAGTGTGCTGGGAAACCTTTTGCTTTTGGCACATATCTTTGCGCACATTGCCACAGTGCACAGATGTAAATGGGGGTTCAAAGTGTTTTCTACTGCATTGTTCTAGGGTGTTGTTCTCTGCTTAAAAAATTAGGTTTTTAATTCTGCATCCATTTCAGTTCAGTCAATGATGTGGCAGTTTCACACCAGCCCTCTACAAATGAGAATGCCCCCCTGGTGTGTGAGATGAACATATCCCAAAATCACTTTCAGTAATGAATGACAGTTACCTCTCCCAGTGGCTGCAGACATTGGGATCCTCTGGATTCAGCAAGACAGCTGTTCCAAGCACCAGGCACAAAATGAACACCTTTACAGTCCATCGCACGGCAGCAAAGAGCTTCATTGTGTCACCTGCAGAGACAGAATAGGTCTTAGATGTGACAAAAAGGAAAACCTAACACAAAGCTGAGAATTTAGATAAAAAGATAGATTGCAAAAAAAAAAAGTAGGCTGGACAAAATGACAAATGTATTTTTATTGTATTTATGTAATTATGAGGGAGGCATTCATAACAAAGCTTAGAACAACCTTAAAGTGTATTTCCACTTTTGGAATCAAATTTAAGAAACACCCTCTATGTGTTTGTTATGTCTTCCTAGTCGCACAGAAAACCGGAACAAAAAATAATGGAAAAAATATTTCTTATCTTTTAGATGTGTCTGTGTAGATGGCCGTTGGAGCTACTCTGCACAATTGCAGAAAACTCTGTCCCCATAGAAATACTAGGGACATACTGAGCTTCCTCTCACTACCATACAATGCTTTCAGATTTTTAACACATTTTTCTAGGACAGACAGTGTTCCTATCTAGCTTACAACTGATGAGATCTGCCAGCACAGTACAGACAGGGTTCATAAGGTTAAAGATTAACTTCCCCCTTGCATTCCAGATAAACATTTTTGTGTATTTTTTGTAAGTTATGCAATTTGAATATGAACATGTAACAAATGTAAAATAGGTGTTATCCCAATATAGCTGCCAAAATGGAAATACACTCGCACAGCGAACAGCTTTGCAAATGAGATTTGCAGCTCATTATGGGCACTAGATAGAGCTGAGGAGCATAAAAAATTCCTATCCTACTCGGGTCCACCTATTGGCCATAGTGGCCATAACACGCTGTAAATCTCGTTCACATAGCTGTTTGCTATGCAAATGGTTTATAATTACTCGCTTAGTAGGTGCACCACTCACCACACATACTTGATATCCCCACGATGAACAAATACTTTGGCGTTTCAACATCTGCACATTGAGCACAGAGAGTTGCTTGCTCAGTACCGCCACTAATCATTCCTTTTTTCAATGTCTACAAAATGTTATCTGATTGGAGGAGATAGAGAGAAGGGGCAGATCACGTCACAATCTCCACCTCAGCCATCTAGAGAACGCCTTGTACTCATTGAAACAAAATACAATGGCATTCTCTGAATTCTCTGCATTGCTGACTGATTTAATGTGCTCTGTGCAGAGGTTAAGCCGCTAGTGCCGTAGTCGTAGTTGTCACGCTAGAACAGGGACCAGGTACTATTTTAATGAAAGATTTAAAAATATTGAAATTGCATCAACATGCTAAAGCACGGATATTTTTTTTGCCGATACTCGCCAATACCGAATACCGATACTGGAAGTCCCATTAAGGAAGCCAAGTGGTGTGTAATGACTCGCCACCCGGCTTCCCGTTGAGCCGGACAGCGTGTAAAACTCGGCCCCTGGCTTCCCGATTAGCAGGGAAGCCGTCTTCATGCTCCCTCGTCACCCGGAGGAGACATGGAGCCGGCTTTCTGGCCAATCAGGAAGCCGGGGGGCCGGTAATGACTCGCCGTCCGGCTTCCTGCTACCGGAAGCTCAGGTATCGAGCTAGGCATCGGAGCATTTGGACGAGTACGAGTACTCGCCCAAATACAAGGCATCTGCACCGATACTAGTATTGATATCGGTACATCCTTAGTTAAAGCTTATTCAAGATTTTAGTGATTGGGTTTACATCTACTTTACGGTATCTGTGATTCTGACGACGGTCTGCTTGATTATCAGACTGACCTGTATATCTTTTCTAGACTTTGGTTTTATACACCCTTTCAAGGGCTGCCATCATTTAGACCAGGGGTCAGCAACCTGCGGCTCCGGTCCTGGGCATTGGCTCCCGGAGTTTTCTTTTCTGTGGGAAACAGGTCCAAATGGCTCTTTGAGTGTTTAAGGTTGCTGACCCCTGATTTAGACCAATAATTAACCACTTCACAGTCATGAAGCTACAGAAAGAGACAGGGCAGCAGTCACAGATACATGAATTTACCACAACATTAAAATCAATGGTTGTTATTCTGAAAGGTTCTATTTATTGGCAACTGCTAACAACTCATTTTATCAGAAGCAGAGCGGACCTCCCCTCGCAATCTACATACACGCCATTTGCTGCAATTGCTATTTATGTGAAATGCACTTAACCCCGTATCGACCAGCTATGGTAGCAACTCCATGGTTCACGTGTTTACTGTCACTGCGGCACAATTACTTTGTAACGCTTATATTGGAAATCAAAAACAGGAAACCTGGACCGGGAATGTCCTCCAATCCCAGTCCAGATACTTCTTGGGTCATTTATGTAGTTGACCTTCTTCCGCTAATCAAGTGTACTTCTACTGCCATTGTGTCAATGCCAAGGGCCCGTGGTGCAGAGCATCAAAGTGCTTTCTTCAGTAAGCAGGGAAGAGTTTCTCTACATTTGGTACGCTGCGTCCCCATTTACTTGCCCCTAAAATGTATTCTAATCACATGAGTGCGGTCTCCACGGGGCACTTGTACCGGCACGCAGCCCTCAGGGGAGTGTTTAACATGGTCTGCTTGCTGTGAATGCCTCCTTCATTGTGTGTAATCAGGACAGTGAGTACATCAGACATGCCTCTATTGTCATGTAATATCTTTAGAGTTTAATGGATTATGTCCTATTTGGGCTCCGGGGAATTTCGTTTACAACTTAGATTTTCCGTAGAAAACCTGTTATACACCAGAAATAAAATATAGACATTTATCAAGTATAATTAACCCATAAAAGGTATATTGATAAATATAGCATCCATTAATAAACAGATAATCCCTATTAAAAGGATATATGTGCTTTTTTAAACTCCTAAGTAATTTTGATATATTCAAGGACATGTAACTTTGCTAACATATCTATTGCTTTTAATATAATCTTTTATGCACTTCACATGCCCAGGGCAGGGTGAAAATTGCTTTGTTTACAACCGGGGAAAATTAAACGACAAAGACTTGTATAACATTGGCAGGGTTGTCCAAATAAGAAATCTGGCTGAAAAGAATTACATGCATGATCACTTGCAGTCTCCACTAGGGTTGCATGTGACAAGGTGAGAAAACAGAAGCACAATTGTGACATCTGTGACCCCATAAAAGGAAGTGCCTGAGCAAGAACTAGGGATGTCCTGATACAAGCATCGGTATCGGGACCGATACAGGGCATTTTGATAAGTACTTGTACTTGTCAAAATGCCCCGATACATAGCGCCGAAGCTTGCGCTATGGTTTTTTTTCTTTACTGACTTTGCCAAGCGTTGCGTCACTGCTGCTCCGGTGGGCAGAGCTCCAGGTGGGGTCCTAATTTAGGTGGCTGGCGACTGCCCAGAGGACCCCACTCAGAGCGCCACCCACCGGAGCAGCAGTGACGCAACGCTCCTCTTCAGCTCAGCGCCGATGACGTCCTTCAGTGCCGGAGAGCAGCGGCGAGTCAGGGCTGGTCCGGGGGGGGGAGCTCCAGGTGGGGTGCCAATTTAGCTGGCCGGCACCTCTGGGTAGTCGCCGGCCAGCTAAATTAGGACCGCACCTGGAGCTCCAACCACCGGACCAGCGTTGACTCGTCGCTGCTCTCCCGCACAGTGCCGCACATCGTGAGCAGTGAGTGAGGGCAAGGGGTGTCCCTATTAAGAAGAGGATAATTGTAAATCTATTGTCTGCAGTGTATTAGCAGTCTGTACTCTATATGTAGGACATATAGAGTACAGACTGCTAATACACTGCAGACAATAGATTTACAATTATCCTCTGCTAATATGAACAGGTTAAATGATCCATAGTACAACTACATGTTATGTACATATTATGTACTACGGAACATTTAACCCATTCATGTTAGCAGTGCAAAATTGTAAATTTATTGGTGCAGTGTATTCTATATGTACTGTACATGTATAGTACACATTACCAATTCCTTGCAGCAATAGATTTACAATTCTCTCCTGCTAACATGAATGGGTTAAATGATCTGTAGTACAACTACATGTTATGTACATATTATGCACTATGGATCATTTAACCTATTCATGTTAGCATGGGATAATTGTAACTCTAATACTGCAGTGTACTGGACGTGTGTGCTGTATATGTACTATGGATCATGATTTAACCTATTCATGTTAGCAGAGCAGAATTGTGAGCTCCTCCCACAAGCTGAGCATCGAGATGCGATGCAGCGATCCTGCCCAGCGCGGACTACAAGAGGCACAGCTTGAGGCAACAGGGATCGGAGTGGAACTGAGTGAGGGAAGCTGGGACAGGGCTGGCTGTAAATCTATTGCTATAGTGTACTGGACATGCGTACTATATATGTAGAACATATATACAGCACACACCTCCACTACACTACAGCAATAGAGTTACGATTCTCCCCTGCTAACATGAATAGGTTAAATCATGATCCATAGTACATAACATGTAGCCGTACTATGGATCATTTAAAGTCACCTATCCCTTTAAGAAAAAGTATCGGTAATTGGTATCGGCAAGTACATGAGGGGAAGTACGTGTACTTGGTCTTGAAAAAGTGGTATCGGGACATCCCTAGCAAGAACCTTCGTGGCAGGATCACCAGATATAAAAGCTGCAGATTTAAACAGACTGAAAACAACATTGAAAATGACATTACCATATTACAGTGTATATGAGATTTCATCGACTGGATTCAGATCTTCTTTAAAGCTTGAAGTCACAGGTAACCTCTTTTTAAACCTACTGTCATTTCCGGCGTGATCTATGTGTTATCAGTGCTTCTGCCCTTAATGGATGGGCATTATTGTTTCCTGATATGTTCAATAGCTGCCTTATTTTCATACTAATGGGATAAATGAATGATAATTGCATTAACTACCTGCCTTTTGCTACCATTTTGTATGCTCTTACACATTAAACCAGTATAATGTTAGCCAGCATGGGAGCAATTACTAAAGTGACACTGGGGCGTGCGGAAAGATTTTGAGCATTTAACATAGATGGCACAAATTAAATCAAAATATGAAAGAGAAACGCAAATGAATGTATGCTTTTATAAAATAAA